TAATATACATATGGATTTTCCTACAATACAAATGTTTATTCTGAAGAAATACAAATGATACTTTCTTGAATCAAAGTGATAATTCCTTCAATACCTAGTACCTACTGTTGTAAAAGGAAAGACATCCGATATGGACGTCTAGGAAGAAGAGTAAGTTTTGGCACCGTCCAAAAAACTTTAAAACGGTTTAAGTTTCAACCATTTCCGTTTCGTTCAGTGCAACATCTGACAGCTGACCAGAAAAAAATTGCATGTATAATATGATAAGAGTGCAGGATAGAGATCCAGAGACATTCAGAAATATTCTTTGGACACATGAAGCTACCTTTCCTACATCAGGGATGTATTACACCTATTTTTGGCGTCAAGAAAACCATAGAAAATATTAAACTATAAAGTTTCAAGGAAGAACATCGTTTCATGTTTGGTGTGGTATTCTAGATAATAAAATAATTGAAACAATTTTTTTTTGAATGGTTCATTTCCTGGTCAAGGATATTTCGATTTTATTGAAAAAAGCTCTGAAAACTTTCTGGAAGAATTACTTGTAATGGCATATCAAAACATTATTTGGCACACAATTTATTAGAATTATTGTTGTGTTAATTATTCTTATGTTTGTTTATTTTTCAAATATTTACCAAATACTTCGTTTGTTCAAATAAACATTTGAAACTTGTTCGGGGTCGTTCAATGTTAATAAAAAATACTAGATTTTGACACTTTATTTATTTCAAAAAGAGCTTTCCATTAAAAAAATACAAGTTTCTGTCACAACTCTTCTGCTTTAAGTTGAATCGGTTTCTGAATTGCATTTTTAGACTCTACGGAAAAAAATACGTGGAATGGCTATTTTAGATTTTCTCAAAAATACAGGGAAAGTCTGAAAGTCAAACATTTGCTCCTATTCATTCCTCGTTGGATGACTGTAGATGTAGCGACGAAAGGTAATCTTAAGATTATTGTATCATTTGAACACGTGTTAAGGAGTGTGTGTTGTTTTGTATCTGAAAATACACTACTTATTTTACAAATTTGAATGAAATTGCGACAGTGGTTTCCGAGATATGAGATAGGTACCTATAGTCCGACAAATACCATTTTAAAGTCACGTGATACTGGTGGCAAAAAACGTATGTCCATTGATTATGTCGTTGATATCACCTACAAAAAGCTACTGGTGGTTAATTACTATTGAATTTTAATATATGTTCCCACTAGCATTTTACAAACGCGTTTCTGAAGTAGTATTGACCAATCAGAGGGCAATTTTAATACTTGCAATTGTTGCGAGACTCACTTTTGTCGCATCTGCTGTCTGTTGTAATACATTCTGAACTTAAACTGGGTACCCGTTTTCTATTTGCTTCTTTTCGAGTTGGAAAAAGGTTAATATCGGGGGGCGGTCAACTTCCTCAAAATGTGTACACCGATTTAAAATCACTCTTGATTTTAACTAATTTAACAGATTTGATCAGATTTAAGAGATTTTTATTCAAACCTTAACTGATTTAAGGTGATTTAAGGTAATTTAAAGATTTATTGCATCACTTAAAAAGATTTAAGCTGATTTAAGAAGATTTAACCTGATTTAGGAAGATTTAACCTGATTTAAGAAGATTTAAATGGATTTAAGATTTTTTTAATGACTTGAACTGATTTAACTTGGGATGATTCAAGGTAAATAATTTAATCCTGAGAAGATAAAATGTATCTAATAACCAGATATTTTAGTGCTAATAGGTACACTCGCTCTCATAAAAGTCCAATTTAAATTTTGAACTAATAAAAACAAAGTTTTAAAATATTAGGAAGAAATTCGAACTTACGACGGCCATTACCTAAGCCTGAATTAGAACACCTTATCAGTTCTAAAAGTGCCACCAAAGTCAGCTAGTCTTGGTAACTCGCTTGGTACACAATGTAATTAATTAATTAAAACTTGAATTTGAATTCACAAAAAACTTGAAGCGGGACTTGAAAAAACACACATGTGCAAGTCGCAAACGAATATAAGCAATTGCACCTCGAGGTTTGTCAAGTTGGAGTCGCCCAAAGTTTACGCGGGATTTTAACCGTTTTTTATCGATTTCAATGATTTATTTATTTATTTTTTATTTATTGATACATCTTCACAAACACCATAAAGGTAATTACAAGCAAAGGTAAAATCGAGGGCAAAAGAACAAAGAGAGTAGAAAAAACAATAAACAAGAACTTACAACTAATATAAAAGACACATACAATAGATAGATAAAATTCTTCTAATTCTAACAAGGAAACATTACACAATCACACATTAAGATATTAAACCAATTAACTGAGAGAGGCTAGTGTTGAATATATCAAATGGCTTTTCCCTGTATACGATATTGCACTGTTCCATCATTTTATTTAGAGGAGACAGTTTATACTGACTTGTTTTACAAATATCTATGCTAAGAATCCTTAAGTTAATTTTGGGTACCCTAAAATCCATAAAATTTATAAAATTACAATGTTTGTACTTTATATTATTGACTATACAGTATATGAATATCACAGAAGAAATGAACAAGTTCTTCTTTGTACAAGGGATTTTATATGGAAACTGTTTAGCATTGCTCCATATGATACCAAAAACGGGTACACTCCATTTTGCCTAACATACAGAAATGGAGATTTATGAAGATTTAGAAGGATTTGAAGAGATTTAACGAGATATAGAGAGGTTTAGGGGATTTATACAGATTTAACTAGATTTAAAAAGATTTAAAGGGATTTTAAGAGATTTAAGAAAATTTAAATTGATCTAACCTGATTTAACATGATTTGATATGATTTATGAAAAAACTAAGGTGATTTAGGGAAATTTATTTAGGGATTTAAATTGTTCCGGATCTCAGATTTTTAGGGATTTAATTGATTTAAAAGGATTTGAGAGGGATTTAAAAAGATTTGAAGGGATTTAAAGGTATTTGACCTAATTTAATCTGATTTAGAGCAAAACAAGATGATTTATGTGATTTAATAAGGGATTTAAAGTGATTTAAGTCCATTTGTACACCGATTTAACAGAGTTAACCGCTCCCCGGTTAATATAGTCAAAATTATTAGCTGTGCTTGTTCGTTGTATTATTTTCGAAAATAACTTTGACAAACTAATTGATGACAGTGACGGATTCTATTTCAGGTAAGAATATTATGAACAATAATTAGACAGCAATTTTTTTGTCAATTTTACTATCACCGCTGTTTGAGATGTATTCAACAAGGATAGAGAAAAATCACGTGACTTTAAAATGGTATTTGTTGGACTATACCTACCCTAATTCACCATTTCGTATATACTTTTCGTACATTCTGATAAATCAATGACGGTGATGGGAGAAAAAATCCGAAAGAATATGAGAAATTCTACGTTTTCATTTATTTATTTATTTATTTATTTATTTATTTATTATGATACCTACAGCAATAGCCAATTACAGATATCAACTTAACATGTAACAACACAATACAATATAATAAAATTTAGTAATAAAATATCTTTAAGTTTGCACTCTTAAGTTTGGCTTCGATTAACCTTTTAAATGTGTTTAAGCTCATGGAATCAATATCAATGTTTGAAGCATACAAGTTAAAAAAGTGACACATTCTACATTCTCCATAACGGAGAGTTTTTGGCTTAGCTAAGTAAAAAACATTGGAATTACGAGAGTTAATCGGGTTTACCTTGTACGTTGTGCACCGAAGAATTTTGGTTCCCTTTTTTGTAATGATAATCTACGAAAGACCCCAAGGAGATGTTTATTATCACATCCCCGAGGAAGAAATATTCCATGACATCTAAAGTATAAACATTTCAGAAATTTTCTCTGTACCCTTTCGATAAATGTGATCCAAATATCGTATTGAGGCGGATCAGATACAACTTACATTGACATCAAAACTTTTTGTGTTTCACGCTATGAAGCCGGCTATCTTCTATGTACTTTCAATTTTGGAAATAATATGATCAATAAATGATAAGGCTGTATCAAAGACAACGCCCAAATCTTTTTGACTGTTAACTTTTTGAAGTGGAGATCCATTTAACGTATAGTTATAGTTTAAGAAATTGTGAGTTAAGGTGAAGGACATACATGAACACTTATTACATTCAATCTAAAATTATTTGCATCACACCAACTAGTAACGTTACAGAAGTCATTCTGCTAAATTTCTCAATATCCTAAACAGTTGACCTGAAAGAAGCATTTGAAATCATCGGCCAACAACAAAATTTTTGCATTATCAACCCTGCTTACAATACTATTTATTGCAACCAAGAATAAAAAGGGCCCTAGATTTTAGACCTACGGGACAGGGTCCTGGATTTTAGCCCTGCGGGACACCCGACTTGCTTTTAAAGATTACAGACTTGTATCCCATTGTATTTCAATAAATTTTTCTTTAAATAAACTTTTTAATTATCCATATATACAACTTATTTTATTTTTAATAGTTTATTTACTTTTTACATTAATTTTAAGTAGGTATAACGAGAAATCCATATCTGAGTGCTTTTAATATTATACAATGCCTTAACTTGATTTTTTTTTTCAAAATTCTAATTTGCTTGTCTATTTATTTAAAACCGAACTATACCTCTTGCATGTCACACTTAGGACAACCTGTAGTTTGTAGCAACTAAAAGAATAAACCTTGTTTTAGAAAAACGTCAAAAGTAAGCAGACTTGAGTAGGAAAATTTCGCATAGCAAACATCACCTCGCCCCAAAAACCAACATCAAAAATTTCATTCACATAAAAATCAAATCTTTTTTGAGAATTCAGTTTCTATGTTGGGTCGCAATTTACTGCTATTAAACTATTTTGGGTACCATTTGTAGGTATTTGTATCAACAGCTGTTCATCACCTGACAGGTCGAGGTCAGTTTAAAATTTTTATTGAAGCTAATTAATGTCGAAAAGCTTAATTGAGTGCGATAAAGCAATTAGTATAAATTAAATTATTACCTGGAAAGGTTCCTGATGAGCCGCTTCTTCAGCAGCAGTGGTATCGCTAGCTCCCACCTTATTCCTGCGACGTCCGATACCAAGTCCAGCCGCCTGACCCACCGGCGGAACGTGATGGTTCATTTCGTGCACGGTAAGACTCTGCTTAATATCAGCGGTAAAATTGCAAGCGGAACACCGAAAAGCTCCTTTGCCGTTGTGATTTTTGCAGTGCCTATCCAAATTCCACTTGTACGGCGTCCGAAAATCGCACATGTCGCACTTAATCATCGGCATCGAATGGTACTTCACGTGTTTCGTGTACCTGGCCTTGATATGCGTCACGTAAGTGCACTTGGAACACCGGAAGAACTTCGTTTTGATGTGCTCCTCGCGTTCGTGCTTGCCGAGCTGGGCGCGATTCCTGCTCGTAAAAGCGCACACTGAACACTTGAACAACACTGGCCTGTCCGGGTCTTCCGGGAGCATCTCGTCGATCCCGACGTCTTCGTCGAGATGCTCTTCGGTTAGTAAAAACGATTCTTCGGCTTCGCCGTTTTCAGCCGCGACATCTTCCAGATGATCGTTCTCGTTGGAGCGTCTGCGCGATTTTCTGGATGTTTCCGTAGGAGTAACACCTTCACTGGTACCGTGCACCATTCTCGAATGTCTCAGCAGTTTTTGAAAATGTTTGGACGCGTATAAACAATTCGGACACTCGTACACTTTTATTTTTTGTCTGTGCACATCGCGAAGATGGTAAAGGTAAATGCGCGGATTTTGCGTGAAGAAGTCGCAGCTCGTGCACGTGTAGTTGCGCCTCACCTTGCAGTCGGGTAACTCTTTGCTGCTGCTTGTGCGATCGCAGTCGTCGTCGTCGTTGTTGGCAGCAGGAGGAGCAGCAGCAGCAGGCGGCACGACGACGTCGACGTCTTCGATGGCGTCGGGGACGTCGTCGGTCGGTTCGTGGAAAGCGTCGCCACTCACAGCGTTGCGCACAGCCGAGATGCCTGATCGATGTACCATCGAAGGCACTGACATGCTAAACTGAACACCTGAAAGAAAACAACCTTGATTAATAAATAATTCGTCTTCTTTAATGTAGTTAATAATATGTTTATTTATAAGTATCGACAATGTCACAGTAAATGCATCATTTATACAAGCACGATTGTTTGTTTCCTTTTTTGAAACTTTAACAAAGATTATGCTTGCCATAAGTGGACAGTATGATTTTTTTTTCAATTATTTCTGATGATATTCAAACAACTAAAAGAATTCTGTTGCATCCTAACAAAGCTGCAGTAAATTGTAAAAGAAGGATTTTTAGGCACAATTTTACTTTTCCCAAATAATTTTACACCAAAAACATTTTATTGGTAAATATATTTTGCAAGAGCCGTTTCTGTTTTTATTGTTCGGTTTTAAGTTATAAAAATCCCAGTAAAAGTGTAACTATAAAGAGATTTTCAAATTCCTTTTCTTCTTTTTAACGAGTGAAAGCCCTTTAGATGTTGAAAAGATTTCAACTTAACTTTACCTTTAATCTTGTGTTCAAATTTCCTTCACGTTTAAATTCATTTATGATGTGCCACGAAAATAAATTTTGCTTTATTCCACTTGCTTCTCATTAAACAGATTTACTACTTTACCATACCAATAGAACTGTGATTTTTGCTTTATGTAATCTCCACTCAATGCTTTTAAAAAAAATCACTTTTGGCTTTTGTTAATTTTTGTCAGCATTTTTCTGCTGAAGCTTAAGATATTTGTAAAGAAAATGTTGTATCTTATACATGCAGAAAGTACCTATTTATCGACCTCGACGGCTTCGTGCATTAAAGTAGGTACCATTTTCCGTACTTATTAGATAAATAGGTAACTTTCTTCTACGATTATTGCAGATTTTGTCCTTTCCGACATCACTCCTTGATAATAGAATACCTAGCTCCTATTTATATTACTTCAGATGTCAACTCATGAGCAAACATAATATAAATATTATAATTATCAGTTTATAACGTTCTACGTCTTCTGATTCCCGATCTCCAACCATCTCTTTGAATCCAGGCATCTTCCTCTAAGCCTCTGTCTCTCATTTCTTCGTCTACTCCACTACTCCAGCTTCTTCTTGGTCTGCCGCGTCTTCTTCTTCCCGCTGACTTCTACTTAATAATTTGCTTGGGTATTCTTGTATCTGTCATTCTTTGCACCTACTCTTCAAATAACAGGTGTATAAAGCAAAATGCCCTTTTGTCGGATAACCCTGTACATGTCCGAACCAAATCAGCTGTTTGTCCTTTATATCATCTGCTATTTTGTGTTTTACGTTCACAATCTCCCTAATTCTCAGATTCAGATTTGTTATCCTTTCTATTTTTGACCTGTCTGCCGATCTTCTCCAAAAGTCAATTTCAGTTGCTTCCAGCATTGTTGCGGTTCTGTTCTTTAGTGGACAGACTTCTGAACTAAATGTGACTGTCCTTTGACTATGGTGTATATTCTAGTTTTGTTGTTAATTTGGTCCCACAGTACACCATTTAGTAGGGATATTGCCTCGCGTCCTTGTATATTCCGATCTTTAATTGCAATAATTGCTTTGTCAAGGGGTTCCCTCATGTGAGATTTTCATGCCCAAATATTTGTATTTAGTACATTGTTTTATTTCTTGTCTGTTATTCAATTTCAGAGTTCGTTGTTCACCTCCTATAGTCATATATTCTGTTTTAGTTAGATTTACTTCCAAGCCCCATTTCTCGTAGTCCTCTATCAATTTTCGTGTCATGTACTCTAAGTCATCATAGTCATGTGCAATTAATACTTGATCATCTACAAAGCTTAAAGTATATCGATTATATTCATTGAGCGGTATACCCATGTGTCTGCATTATTTTTTCCACCTCTTAAGCGTTTGTTCTAAGTATATTTTAAAAAGTGTTGGTGATATGCAGCATCTCTGTTTAAGTCCTTAAGTTGCTATAAAGCCTTTACTGATTATGTTTCCCTGTTATCTTGGTCTTTGCATCACTATTCAGCAGTTTTACTGCCTTTATTAGTTCTAAGTTGATATTGGTCTTTTCCAGTGCTTCCCAAAGCTTTTCCAGCGGAACATTATCATATGCTTTCTTTAGATCTAACAAAGTGTAAATAGAGTTCTTGGTTATACGCTGGTTTCTTTTCCATTACCTGGATGGAACTAAATAAATGGTCTACAGTTGATCTTCCTGCTTTAAAACCACCCTGTTCTCCTGCGTCACTATCTTTGTACTCGTACTCTATTCTGGCTTTTATGAGTTTTCCATACACTCTGCTTAGCGTATTTGTTACTGCAATAGGGAACTTGCACATGAATGAATGATGCAGTTAAGAAAATAGTATATTGTGTATTTAGGTAGAAAAGTGACACATTCTCGGCCGACGGTGTAAGTTGACGGGCGAGGCGTAGCCGAGGCCGGCAAACACCGAAGGCCGAGAATGTGCTTTTCCACCGAAATACACATACTATTTTTTCTGCGATCGGTTAAATACCTGTTAAATGTTTGTCTTTTGGTTCCAATTATTCAGCAGTACGAGAATCACTTTCCCGGCCTAGGCCGGAAAAGTGTTTCCCGTATTGTTATTCATTGATTCCTTAGCAACTATTGAAACATAATTGAAATACCAGAATAATGAGTTTTGCGACCTGTCAACCGGTCAAAAATGCTGACATTTCTTGTCAATCGCAGAAAAAAATATAATATCTTATCTCTGGTGTCCGAAATCTTCAATTGAAAATACCAAATAATTCGAAATTTATGACGCGATCAAAAACGTGTTTCTATGGGTCGTGACGTCACAAGGCAGTATCAATCGGGTCGCGCCGCTGCCACGTCATGTGCTGCTGGTGTTGCCAATGTCAAATCTATCAGAAACTGCATACATACCAACATAACCATAATCTTAATCTACCTGCTCGAAGTTCGAAGTGCTCGTCACTGTCATCGGAATTTTGTTGCCGACTGACGTCACACTAATCGGTCGTTTCAAATGACGATGTTTCGAGCGTAACTTCAAATATTTATAAAAAATTAACGGCTGATTTTTAATGCTTGATATTTGGTAGGACTATGTTTTTAGTGAAGTAGAACACATTTTTGAAAAAAAAAAAAAAAATGTGCAAGTTCCCTATTCCTCCGTTATTCTCGCATTTGTTTCTGCCTCCTTTCTTATATGTATATCGCTGTTAAATAGCTTATTTTCCACTCTTCCGGTACTTCATGTTTATCTATGCATGTTTGAAATAGATTGGTTAAATGTTTGTAAAGTTTATTGGTCCCATACTTCCTCAGTTCTCCATATATTTCTCCTAGGCCTGGTGCCCTACCGTTTTTCAAGAAGCCACAGTGTTCGTACATAACTCTTATTGGTAATCCTGCAGTTTTTATGTTTCGTGTCTGTTCCTTATGTTCTTCAAACTATGCCCAATGTTCTGCCAGTAATTCTTCAAAGTACTCTTCCCATTGCTGGGGTGTTATTGTATTGATAATATCCTTGGTTTTTGTTTTCCTCATATTTTTTAGTAAAAAAAAAAACAACTTTCTGTGTTTCTTTTACCTCCCAGGATAAATATTAATATGCGCACAGTTTCTTTCCCATGATTCGTTTTTTTTTCTGTACTATTTTATTCCATACTCTGCTTGCTCGTGCTTCTTTATATATTTCTTTGTCTCGTGTCTTATTTGAATTTAGATACTGTTGGTATTTCTTCCTTCCAGACCTTTTGGACTCGAGAACCGGCTAACGTACGCCTCCTCAGGATGAGCAATCCTGTTAGTTTACGATTCTTGGGTTTTAATAATAAATGGTTGTATGTTGTAGGTTTAAAAAATGTGAAAAATGTTAAATTTTACTAGTTTTACGTTGAATTAAATTACGAAAAGTGGCAAAAGTTATCAACAACATTCACTTGGTATGTACACATACTTTTTTTTGCACTTTGGCCTTCTATAAGTACCTAAATTGAATCATTGTTGCTAAATTGAAATAACCAGACATTCCGATCGGCAAACAAAAAAGCGTATAGGTGAACCAAAGATATTTGAGGTGAACATACACGTTAAAATTTTAATTTTAATTTTCTAAGTAAAAAGGAATATGCCAAATACAACAGGAGATTTAAGCAATAAGGATCAGTTAGAAGAGATTAAAAAGTTAATTATTGCTAGCAGCAATGATCTCAGCAGTAAAATAGAAAAAGTGAACGATGATTTAATTAAGGAAAATCATGTTTTAAAACACAAAATAAAAACTCTTGAAGACAAAAATCAAGATTTAGAATTAAAAATAAATGTTTTAGAAAATAAGGCTAGGAAAAATAATCTTATCATATATGGGCTTCCAAATAAAACTGAGTTGAAAGGAGAAAACTTAGTGAGATGGGTAGTGGATAAACTTAAAAACCTGTTGGAAGTAGACCTTAATGCTAATGAAATAAATAATACGTACTATTTGGGCAGACCAGAAACCGAAAAAAAACCACTTTTAGTTGAATTAACAACTTACATTAAAAAGGACATCTTGCTTAAAAACGCCCGCAAACTAAAAGGAAAATCTGTCTTTTTATCGAACGATCTAACTAAGGCTGAAAGAGAGATTAATAAAGTTCTATATAGTAACCTTAAAGAAGCTAGAAAACTTGGACTTACGGCCTTCATTAAAAAAAACAATTTACATGTGGGAAACGATATTTACACATACGAAGATCTGTTACAAAGTGATATTTTCAAATCGACATCTGGTGATTTAGACGAAGATGTTTTTTATGGGCCGCCTCCGAGGCGCTCTGTAAGCGTCCCAGGTTTATCTGCGTTATCCCTGACGGAAGATGATTCGAACGACTTTTTCGTAGCAGTAGACGATACCCCTGAACAAGTAGCCGCGACACCAATTGAAGAGCATAAACCAGCAAATCTGCAAGAAAATACAAAAACAGGAACACACAAACCCTTTACGCTTTACTCTTCTAGAGATTTAAGGTTGTATTTCTCAGGCACAATATTGTCTTCCTGTTTTTTCATTTCGTTTTCTTTTGCGGTGTTTTTGCCCGGGATAAAGATTTTTGTTTTCATTCATTTTGTTCCATGAACAAACATAACAAGACTAATTTACCAACTGCTGATCATATTTTGAATTTGAATTTTGAGGGTTCGATAAATGGAGAGACACGAGTGAAGATGACAATGACCTTGACTCTGAACAGCAAGACAATGATAAATGTTCCGGTAATTAGATACCTGAATTGGTTCAACTCCAAAATAAAGGTTTATGACAACCAGGCAAGCTGGCAACAAGGCGTTCCGATGAGGCCGCAGGGCAGATATTCATATTCCGCTCCCCTCTATAGTGTCAAGTAGTACCCCAAAGAGGAAGCATGTTGCGCTTGGGCCGACAGCTCTCTTGGCATTCGGGGTTGTAAATTGTTGCGCAATATTGCAAAATAATATTGTAATAACTCGTTTTCCGT